TGATGTCGGGTGGTGTCGCACTAAGTTTTTCTGACGATAGCAAAGTATTTTAGCGTTAACTTAAACTGATAGAGGATTTTATTATTCGTTTATTATCATATTAGCGGAATAATGTATTTGTTTGTGATTCCTATCATTAGGTTGTTGAATGTGGCATCAGCGGTAATCGATATTTACAATAATAGATATCATTGCAACGTAATCTGGCGTACGAACAAGTCCAGTCTACGAAAGATCGCGTTACATCAATGTTAATTAAAACGAAGCGATATCCAGCACTATTGAAAAGTGCATGCTTGCGCCCACTAATTAAAACGACCGAGAATTGTATTATCCGGCAGTGGCAAGTCGCCATTATTATTATTATTATTGTTATTATTATTATTATTGTAGCCATGTCGAGCAAGTTCGTGACGTGCGCGTGCGCACTAATTGAATATATACTATACTTGGGCCAAAGTAAATAATGCAGTATTGATTGGACAAGCCATCGTCGTTGCGGTACGCAAAATCCTGAGCTCAATCACAACGGACCGAGTAAACGTATCATGATTTTTTTCCGCGGGAACATGCTGCGACGCATTTTCTTCGATGCCTGCGCGTAAACAATTCATTTCGTGCCACTGTGCGACTCGCCTATATATATTTCAGTGTCGATTTAATTTGCGCACTCGGAATATTTTACCAGCGAGAGAGAGAGAGAGAGAGAGAAAGAGAGTGTCATGCCGGCATTTGTATGCGCATTACAAAGCGCTCGCTGTGCTACGCAGCCGCGAGAGAGATATCGACGAGAGATAACGCTCGGCGAGGCACGAATTTTACTTGTGTGCTGGCAAGCTTTTTTTCAAAGGGGAGGCTTGTTTCTATTGAGATTTGTAGAGTGAAATAATTTTTGCGATCCTGAGTCTATTTTGAACGATAGGTTGGCTTAATAGATTAATGTTAATTTGATACAGTCAGGTGGATTATTTGTCAATTCATTTTTACTATTAAATTGAACCGGTTTAATCTTTATATTTTAGTTAATCTTCAATTGCATAACAGAAAAATAAGTTTGTTGCTTGTTTCTTATGTTAAAAAACAAATTTCTTATTTCTTTATTTTCACTTTTAGAAGAAATTACTTGTCTCGATAAAAATGATAGTCTTCACAAAATCACGATAGAAATATAATTGAAGGTATTAGTTACAATATATCATTTTGAGAAATCGAAAATGTAGTGGTCATTCCTAAGTTCCATGTTACATCATATAGACGGATAAAGAGTCATTCGATTTGTTTATATATAATAAAGACTGTAAATAAAGATTTGTATAATTTTAATGGGAATATGTTTGGAAATTTATTGATAATGGAAATTTGATGTATTTCGTTTGCTCTTAATTAGAAAAAAGAGTCGTCTAGCTACTTTTGATTAGGAGATGTGCTAAAATATTTATCAAAAGAGTACATATTTTTAGCAATAAGACATGAAATTTTTTAAATATTGTACTCTACGAGATAGTCCTCGTTCGATGCACGTGCACCCAAGAGCAAATGGAGCATTTGAAAGAAAGTCAGTTGATTGATTTCATGTAAAAGCCACAAAATGAGTAAAAAAAAGTAAATTAGAATCGAAAAGCAAGAGGAAACCATTCCGTGTTGATAAGGTTTTTATGCTTTATATACACTCGCATAAATTAACTGAAGAGGGAAAGAGAGAACGAGAGGGAGACGTAGAGAGTAGTGGAGCGCTTTTCGAAAGTATAATAAGTTAAATTCGAAACGCGAGGGTGACGTAGAGGCTTTTGCAAATCTTCAATGTAACATTGCGCATTAGCCACATTTGCAAGTAGCGCATGCAAATTGCGCCTCGACATACACAAGCACCGCGCCTTTGCCGTGCTTAACTAATTCTGTTTTAGCCACGCGCATCTCTGCCAAATTCCATGATGCGCCCGGCTTTTTTGAATGCATCGACATGCACATTGCATTTGCAGCTTGAAGAGGGCCGGCGGCGTCCACTCGGCCGTGTGCTGCGACGAGAGGCAACTAATTTTCGAATGAGAAAGGGACCGACTGGGCTGCGTTTGTTCGTTAGGCGCCGTGTGAGCGCGCGGACCAAGTTGCGAGCTCGAACCACGCCAGCGCGCCAGAGCTCTCGTCGCTCTGCCCTCCGATCGCAGGAGCGCAACGAATTGAGTCCGTGAGCGATGCTCGGCAACGGGCGATCGATTTATAGACGCCCGGCTTGTGCCCGTTTCGGTCAATCCCATCAAAGATTCGTGGCCGTGCGCCGAAATTCCGGCGACCGCAGAGCTCTAAAATACCAAATGTAATTTGCTTTCATAGCTCTGATCGATGCACCTCGCGCCAAGCCAAGCAAATTTATTCCCAAGCACTCGGCGCGTATATCAATAGGCCTCGTAAAAAGCCCGTAAAAAGGGTTCTCGGTCGATGTGTAAACGCGCGAGGCTTGGAAAAGCGTAATTTCCTCGTTTAAACGAAGAGACGGGCGCGGCCCGAAGAAAGAAATTTTCGGCTTCCAGCCAGAAGTCCCCCGTCGCATCTGTTGGTCGCGCTGACAAATGTAATGTAGCTTTAATCGCGATACAAGCTGCCGGCCGGCGGCGTTATTTACGAGGCCTATACGGTCGCATGCCAAAAGGAGAGCGGCCCTCTGCTCTCGATGAATACTATCATCGCGCCGTGCCGGCAAATTGAATGAGAGAGAGAACGCGATCCAACGAGTTTTTTGGCAAGGCCAACGATGCGCCCCCGAGCTTCGGTTTTATTAATGCGCCTCGTCGTCGTGTCGCTGTTTAGGCGGGTGTGTCCTTCGGCTACGTCCTGGCTGCGACCGTACGCGCACGACTGGCGCGCTCTCCTCGAAATTTCGTTTGCGTTCGCGTCGTCGAACGCTGCGAGCGTCGCAACGGCGGAAAGCCGCTGAATCGCTAAATCGAGCAGCTCGTCGGATTATGGAAAGTCCGTCGACGCCAAGGTCGGCGTGGCCGAGGAAAATTGTGGGAACCCGTGTGGGAAGCTCGCGCACACGGGCGCACAGCTAGGCATAAGCGATAAATCGCGGCGGGCAGGAAGCTCGTTCCAGCCCACATTGGCAGGAAGAGCAGCAGCGAAGAAACGGACGAGCCTTTCCGCCAGTTTGTCATTACGCGCGCGTTTTATTTATAATAATTGCTCCGAAACAGTTAAGCCAGCGCCTTCGCCCTGCCGCAGCCCCTTTCGCGGCGCTGAATTTATGAAGTCGCCGCTCGCGCGGATTCCTTGGAGGCCGTCCAGGAATTCCCCAGTTTGACGCTCGTCGCCGGGCTCCGGGCCTACATCAGCCGAGAGGATGGCGGCCATTATTTCAGCGCGCTATGACAGCTGCGCCCTTTTTATTGCCGCGAGTCGCTAAGTGTCTCGCGCACGCGGAGTCGGCGACGGCTGCGAGAGGATTCTCGGGACGCTTGCGGAGCGCCGCGATCGAGCGCCGTGAGAGAGCGGTGGGCGACGCGCGGCGCGCGGCGCGCGAGGGATAATTGTATAGAGCGGGTCCATTAATAACCGGAGTGAAAAGCGAGCGCGCGGCACCGAGGGCAGCGGGGCGCAGCCGTAAAGTAACAAAGTAGGCGCGCGAAGCCCGGAGCAGCGGCGCTCTCTGTGTCGCGTGCCTGGGGAATTTCAGCTGCGTTTCAGAAGCGCCACTGCTCTTCGTCGCGAGCAGCTCAAATAATGCCGACAGCGCTGTGTTTGTGGGCGTCGCGACTCGGTCCTCCCCTTTCGTGTACTGTCCTGTGTTCGTTTAGCAGAATTTTGGAATAGATAAATTGCGCGCGCCGAGGCCGCCGGGGAAGAATATTATCTGGCGCGTTCCTTTTTTCGTCAGTCGGATCTGCATAGGCGACACGAGAGAGGGAGAGGCAGCGAGCCTTTCGCCTTTTCCGCCGCTTTCGCTCGCTGGGCGGCTCGCATAATTTCTTGGCTAGCGACGCTGCCAACACTGCCTCCCCCTCCCGCCGCCCTTTCTTTTTCCGGCTTTCCATCCCCTTTCGCACTCGCAGACACTTTGCGGGTATAAATAACGCGACGGCTCTCTCTGTCTCTGATATATAGGCGCTGAATTATCCAATTATTGCCCAGCTGTGCTCTCTTTTCGCTATTTATCGGCGCTCCTACAGCGACCATCACTGTTACTCGCTTTGACAATTCTAGCAGCGAGATTACCGCAGCCGACGTGCTTTAGCGCGCTAAAGAGGAAGGATATTAAGCCGCGCGCTGGCGTGTCTGATCTGCCAAAGATTTACGAGGCGCAGCGTCGGCGGCACCGGCACCGGCGGCGGCGGCGCAGCGCGCGTGGCGCCTTAATTATGTAAGTGCGGATGGTACGCGCGAACGCCTGTGCGTATCAGACGATACTCGCTCCCCGTGCAATTAATAGGCGCGACTGCTCCGCGCTAAGCATTGCATCAATTATCGCCGAGCAAAGAGAAGAAAGGCGCACGCGGCCTCGTAAATAAATGCGCGCGCCGATTAATCAAGTCCGTGGCTGCGCGAGGCTTTGAAATAATGGCCCAGGAAATGCAGAGTGGCGAAACTGCCAGCGAATTTACAGCCAACGTTTGGCTATCTCGCAATTAGCCCCAGTGCCGCTCACTCGCTCGTCCAGCGCGCCGCCTGCGATTAATTAATCGATCGACGACGACGACGACGACGACGACGACGACGACGACGACGACGACGACGACTACGGACGCCGTGCATACATGTCAAGTCCGTGCCAGAGATACACTTACGTAGTTACGTGCAGTGTATGCGTGACTGATGCGACGTCTAGACGAGCAGAGTGTATTGCCGATTGTCCCGCCCACATTCTTATTTACGAAAGCGGCAGAAATACAGCGCCATGTGCCGCCGATCTTCCGTGTACATATATGGACACTTTTTCATTTTTTGCGCGCGGAGGTTGGACAGCTTACGATCGACAACAATTTTGGAATCCAAAAGACACGTTTCTTTCTCAAATTTTATTTTAGTCAATGATCTTCTTCATTTTGTATTTCACCATGATAGTTTGTCAGAGTGAAACTGCAACTGTTTCTCGATCCACGACAAATACCTTGAAACTCTAGTGTAAACGTCAGGCAGGTATACACCGCAAAGTCCATGTCCGTAAGACGCAACTCCAATTTGCCTGTTTTCGTAGACTAGAGGTCCTCCTGAGTCACCCTGACGAGAATTTAGGCGTAAACTCGCACTGACATTAGAAGAGGAAAATAAACGGAAAAATCTTACGATGCAAGCGGCGGTTCTGTCTGGTTGGTGAATGCTACCGCCAGTACAAATTTGATTGTCCATCACCGTTCGCCATAGTTGTCCGCATTCATTTTCGCCAATGACTTTCAACGAAGCATAGTACAACCTAGACGATGTCAATCCTCCGCGAGGCTATGATTCGTAAAAATAATAATTTTGATGAACGTTACGATGGTTTCGTCAACTTACGCTTCGAATTCCCCATCCCGATAACGTTGCCGAAACGTTCGCGTAATCATTCCATGGGTCTGTCGCTAATTTGATTGGCTGCACGTGCTTTGTAAACTGTATATCTTTGCTGAGACGAATAAGAGCAATGTCATTCGAAACCCTGTTTCTCCTTTGCTGAAATGTTGGAAGAACTTACGCTCGTTCAGCAATATTGAGCGATTGAGACGGTTATATTTGCGTCCCGCATACTCATCTAGATAAGCAAAACTCATTGCATTTTATACAAATAAAATTACTTACACTCACAACGAAGTTGCTATGTTTAATAAACTTCTCGTAATTGTACCTCGTCCCATTCAAACCAGTTTTGTAAATAGCCCCAACAATTGCGTAAGCATGACTTGCGTAAAGTCTGAGTAAAAGAAAAGATACATGACTTTTAGATATACCAGGCTTTTCACGTGATTGCAACAATGTTGGTTTCGAACCTGCAGTGTGCTGCGGTAAGAAGCCATCGCTTGTGAATAATCGAAGCTCCGCATGCACCAGTCAAATCATCGGTAATGTAAGCTTGATAAGGAAATTGACCCACATCTGCAGGACTGCCGTTCATAATTCGTAGCTGGCCTGCTACAGCTGAAAATTATTCAGCCGGAATAAACGAAGCTCACCACTGATCGTTGAGCTCGTGCATTAGTACTACAAACACATGTATGTATGTGTGCAATTGTTTTCGATTGTCTCAACGTATACCTCGACTGTATCCGATGATCCATGATAATAGTAGAACCAGTGTGAATTTCTTCATTACTCGCGAAAAGTGCTTTCCTTCAAAAATACGTCATTGGAGTTATTAAATACATAATGCAATACGTTAAAAAGTACACATTTCTGAGGTCTAGAATTACGAACATTTGTTGTTTGCTGAGGCTTATTTGGGATACGTGGTAACAAAAAATAATAAAAATGCTCGTGAAAGTTAAAAAATTTCGCAGGCACTATTTTTTTGATAATTTTACACTATTGGGCAATGTGAAAAAGTCCCAAAATAAAACGCCACCTTGTTTGCTTATAACTTCAACTGCACTCTATTTATAATTCTTAAAAGTGATATGTAAAGTAAAAATAAAAAGTTTCAATACCTTCAAATGCTGCGTATCTGTCAATACTTCTACTGTTTATATCATTTTTTGCAAATGTTGTAACTTGTTGTCAGCTTAAGTTATGTGCAAAGGAACTCAAGCTTCATTTTATTGATTTTCATTTAATAGCGTGAAAATGTCGAAAAAATAGTTGCTGACAACGTTTTTAAAGTTTACGAGTGCTTTCCGTCACTATATACTTTGTATAAGAAGAGAAAAAAACTGGTAATCCTAATGAGAAATAAACTGTTGCGACTCTAAGCCTCAGAAAAGTGATTTTTTTTTATGGGTTTCGTTATATATATATATTTACAGAAAATTATCTGTTTTCATAACTGTCGCTACTCGTAAAATATTATCCCATAATTTGCAAAGAACTCAAAAACGATGACACATGTTAGCTTTTATTGCCAAAGATGGATTAACCCAACGTTAAAGGCGAGTGTTATCTTAGTCTAATATTTGTCCACTTTGTCACATGTATGTAAATTATATAACTATGCAAAGTTAATTAATTAATATATAAACAGCTTAAAAACTGACACCCAACTTATCTTTTTATATCGCCCTGCTTCAACACTTAAGATTAATTTCTCCGACGTTGAATCTGGCGAATAAGATAGCGTAGCCTAGTTTTTTCAGTCAGTCGCAATCCAGACAGGCTGCGGAAATCCTGTTCTTCATTCAAAAAACACTAATCTTTTAAAATCAAAATGTCTTGGATACCTAATAATTATACTGGAGCCTGTCAAGCGGAAGTATTAACTTTTTACGCGTTATTGACACAATATCTTGGATTTTCCTATGACGCGAAGTTCATTGAACCAACAGATCATCAAGATCAATACGATTTCATCATCGTTGGTGCTGGAAGTGCTGGTTGTGTTGTTGCTAATCGATTGAGCGAGATTGCGAACTGGAAGGTACATAGATATGAGTGATGTCCCTTCACAATCGATTATCCATTTTTCGTAATTTTAAAATATTTTTGATAATTAGTTCAAAACTGATTTCTTTGAATATTCTAACCGATTATGCATTTTTCCTAATTTAACGTCTATCTTAGAGTTTCTTTGACTTATCTATGCAGCTAAGATAGTTAAGGGGCCCAGATTAGGCTAATCAGGAAAAATGTAAAGTCTTATTTATTGTCATATATAATTAATCCTAATAATAATATTGATTTGAGACTTTTTTCATCCTAAAATACTTGATAAACGCTTTTATTTTCTTTATTATGGATATAAAAATCTCAAATTTACATTTCACAAGTTACTATTTGTATAATATCTTATTTTCATATTGGAAGGATTTGTGTGTTTCGTTGGAATCTTTTTTTTTTTTTGTAATGACTGAATTACTTTTTTAATACAATTTTCTTTATATTTCACAAGTAGGTTTTTCGAATTTTATTAAAAAAATTTTTTATTTCCAGAAAAATCATTTTTTAAAATGAAAAAATAGTTCCACTCATTCCCAAGTACATATTCTAGCATAGAAAATGAGTCCTTTCAAAATGATTTTTGTTCGCTCTAATTATGAGAACAACATGGAAAACTTAATTTTTTTCATATAAATATAAGGTTATGAAATATGAAAAAATAAAAAATAAATAACATATTATGTAAACGAAAACTTTCTGGAGTTTAGATTTGAGATTATGAGATGCATGATAAAGAAAATAATAGCACTTAATGGAGATTCACTTAAAATGAAAGACTTTACAAGTCGATAAATTTATTATCATGATTATTAAACGATAGACTTTCAATTTTCTCTGTTCAAATGTATCTAGCTTCTTCGAGTACATATAATAAAACATAATAAAACACAAGTTAACAGTAAGTTATAATATTATAGTAATAATTACTTATACTTATATGGTGAATACATTTGGACTTTCAGTCGAGTTAAATGATTCTGTTGAATAGGATTTTTAAGAAAAACGATTTGACAAATTATGCATAGTGATTTTCAAAAATTTAGATTCAATTTTGATCCTGTTACATAAGATATGATAAAAAATGCTACCGAAACAGTAAGAATTTCTTGTTGGATCAATTTTCATAAAATTCGAACTTATCCGTTTCTTCCGAGATGTCACTGAATGCCTTATACTGAAATTCTGTAAAATGGAAAAATCCAGATATTACTATTAGAAACTGGTGACGAGGAACCTGCGATAACGGGTATTCCAGGATTATGGCCAATTTTGAGGACAAGTAGCATAACATATGGTTACACAAGTCAACCAGAACCTGTGATATGTAGTGCTGATAAAGACAGATCATGTAGTTTAGTTCGGGGAAAAGTCATGGGTGGATCAAGTTCTATCAACGACATGGTTTATTCCCGTGGCAATAAGCAAGACTTTGACGACTGGCAGAACCTTGGAAATGAAGGTTGGAGCTTCGACAGTGTTTTGAAGTACTTCAAAAAATCCGAGGATATCAGAGTGAGTTTCTACAAGCAAATATGTAACGGTTATATTATTACATTTTTCATTGTACAATATTTTAGATTCCCGATGCAGATTTAAAATACCACGCTACTGGTGGTTATGTTAAGGTTGAAGAATTTCCTTATATTAACAAATACAGCGACGTAATTATATCAGCGTGGAAAGAGCTTGGCTTGAACGAAATCGATTACAATACCGGATTTCAAATCGGCACTGCAAAACAACAATACACTTCTATTCGTGGTAGTCGTTTAAGTAGTAATGGAGCTTTTTTAAGACCTATTCGCGGTAGAAGACCTAATCTAACCGTCTCGCCAAACTCTCGTGTAACTCGGATAATTATAGATCCAGTGACGAGAACTGCAACTGGAGTGGAGTATCTCGATTTGAAGACAAACAAGATGAAGAAAGTCAAAGTAAGTAAGGAAGTGATTTTATCAGCTGGTGCCTTTGATTCTCCAAAGCTATTGATGTTGTCTGGTATAGGACCAGCTGATCATCTTCGAGAAGCAAATATCGATATAATTCAAGATGCTCCAGTTGGACGTAATTTGCACGAGCACACCATTGTGCTGCCTTTTACTTTTGACCTGAAAAATGAATCTAAAACTATGTTTAATTTACCTAGGATTCAGAACGATTTGATGTATTGGATGAGTACCCACGAAGGTAGACTGGCTGCTACTGGAATGCAAACGACAATTGCCTTCTTACAAACATCTTTTGAGAAACGCCATGGTGTTCCTGATGTTCAAATTGGTTTTGCCGGAACCTTATCCGATAACAAATGTGCAAGTGGGATTTCGTCAATCGCTACGTCATATTTTAATCGAGTAGGCATGTATGTTGTTCTTGTAAAGCCTACGAGTCGTGGTTATGTGAGGTTGAATTCCACAGACCCACTGTGGAGTCAGCCATTGATTTTTCTCAACAGTTTAGTCGAATCCGATGACGTTGAAAGATTTATCGAAGGAATGTTACATGCTCGAAAAATCATCAAAACTCAATCGTTCAAAACCCATGGTTTTATCAAAGTGAAAAACGAACCGTGCGGAAATTTCAACGACAGTACGAGAGAGTACTTCGAATGTTTAATTAAAAAGACATCGTGGACGAGTTATCATCCTGTGGGGTCATGCAAAATGGGTCCTAAATCTGACGAGGATGCCGTGATTGATGTGAGACTCAAAGTTTATGGTATCAATGGATTGAGGGTTATCGATGCCTCGGTAATGCCCGCAATTACGAGAGGTGGCATCAATGCGGTTGTAATGATGATTGGCGAGAAAGGCAGTGACATGATTAAGGAAGATTGGATGACCGATGCTGATTGGGTGTATGGATAACTTCAATAAGTGTGGTTTCACTTGTTTTGTGATTATAATTATTGGTTGTAATTACTTTGAATAAGTACAAAATATAGAAATTTTTCAAAAGAAGCTTTATTTCCAGAATTGAACTGCTCTGTTATTTAAAACGTTCAAGACGACATGTAATATGTGCGCGCGACAGCAGGAAGATATTACTTCCACACTCTAACTGTTCATACATCAGAGAAAACTTGCATAATTCTAGATGAAGTTTGGCATGATTTAGCGGCATGTCTCGAGTTTCAGGTCTCCAACACATATACACACACTAAATACAAGGAGGAACGCACACATTTTCGTCTCACGTAGTTCCCAAAATTTCCATACTGCTTCTTGAATCATTTAGTTCGGAACGCGCAGACACGACTAGTGTAACGTAAAATTTCGTAGCCAGCATGTTCATTCAATGGTGTACGAGTAATATGTAAATTTTTCGAATTGTCGGTAGGGAAAAAAATACGTTGCTATTGCTGGTGATACCATGTCGTCACGTGCAAACGAAGCTCAATGTGGATATATATGTTTCTCAATTTCTCTCTCTCTTTTTCTTTCTCTCTCTCTCTCTCTCTCTCTCTCTCCCTCTCTCTACCCGGCTCATAACGCTAATTAACGGATTCAATATTGTGGGAACGTGATCAGAAACGCAATTCAACGCTTGGAATTCGTTACTCTCGACATTTTTCTGCGTTGCTACATTCAGGCTACTACGGCGAATAATAAAAGAAGTGCGACTTTCCTTTGTTTTGCTGCTACCGCTTTATACAGCACGAAAGGAACGTCTGCTCATAATTTTCTTCACGCAAAATAAACTCAATGCTCTGCAGCCGCGAGATAATAAGATTCCATTTCTTTCGTTCTCTCTCTCTCCCTCCCTCTCTTTCGTTTCTTTTTTTCTTCCCGGTAGTGGTGGATAATAGTAGGACGGAAAATCAGTGCTTTTACGTGTTCTACTGAAATGAGATGTCGTAAGGTAAAGCTGGTTAGTTATTAATATAGAATTTTAGAATTTTCTGGAATTCATAGAAAGAAAATAAAATTCTATCAACCGCGAAACAAGGCAAATATTCATGACTTTATTTACGAAATGTTAGGACTGTTTGTCAACAGCTTACGGTAAATCAATGTTTTACATCGCTAGCGAATCTAATTTATTTTGTTTAAATCCAGGTCGACATCGTACGGGAAAACCATATTCCACGGGAGCAACTCGGTAGTGATAAAATCGCGATTGAATTGTAATTAACTGGCAATTCAAATGTTATTCGTATAAACTGAGTGTGCAGCAGCAACCGAATTTCCGTGCTAATCCAAACAGAAATGTATTTACACTGTAGTCGAAATCATTCGAATGTTTTGTACTCGCCATTTGGCGCACGACTTTTTTTCTCTTCCCTTTATTTGTTTACAGTCGCCAGACACACAAACTTTGTTCACCCATAGGCGTTGCATGTAAATATTTTTCTTTCACATCGAAAAACAATTTTAATTCATTCTGTTAACTTCTGGGCTTACTTTTCTTTTTTTCCATCTTCGTTGTTTTTTTCCTTTGGGTATAAGGGAAACTTGATATGATGCTTAAAATGTCAAAGAGTGTGGAGAATAACGTTTTTCACATGATTGATAAAATATCTTTTGTCGACATTTATTGGACGCTTCATTCGACTTGCTATTTATGATGCGTGGCTTTGTTGTACTAAAACAAATAGAACTCCTTTGATGATGGGTCGTTTCACCAGAGAGACAAAACTTTTGACTGTGAATTGTCGCTGGAATTGCCTATTAATACTTCTACATTCACTCTACAGCAGTTATATATACCAACAAAAGAGCTGAAAATATATTTATTTGGCATTTCTTTTTTGACAGAAATTATATATTCGTAGTTACCGAACCATAAATATCACGTTATATTGTAAAAGTTTAACACAGTTATAGCAATGCATATTTCTCTTGTGTAAAGTCGAGGGGACAGCAGCTGAGCTCGAGCTTATTTTCTTTTTCGAGGAATTAAAAATAAAAAGGAGGCGGTAAAAAAATTTTTTTTAACATCTTGAACTTATACTTTCCGGCGCTCGCAAACAACTGGAATAATGAGAAACTTTTAATTAAAACGTGGGAGACGGGGCTGCTTCGAAGCGATCCCAGAGAGCGAGACGAAACAATGGAAGAAAAGAAATACGTCGTTAATGGGAATTTTTTAATGCCAGTTTCTTGTTTTTTTCCTTTTTTCTTTCTCATCTTTTTTCCTCTTTGAAACAATATCGGGAAATTCCGCTTTACAGCATTTACAACTCATCTTTTATTCTATATTTCCTGTCAGTATTACATATTAAATTGAAATTGGCTTGAATATTGAATTTGTGAACTATATATATACGTATACTATAAGTATATATTTGAAGATTTAATAGATTGTATTTGGGAATCCTATAGAGTAAGCGAAATAAACGTGTATCTGTTAATGGATTTCAATGAAGTGATTCTCGATAAAGTCAATATTGCCTGAATATAGAGCAAAATGTGCTACATTTCAACTAAAGAGCCAATGCATGTGTATAGTTTATCAATTTAAATTTTCCTATTGATGCTTAGCACGATAATTGTCAGCTTGCTTGAAAGGTTGTATAGAACGAAATATCGACTCAACATAATAAAAAATTTTCAAGTAATTATGCAATCAATATCGCATTATCTACCAAAATGGAAAAAACTTATGCTCTGCAAACCGCAGAATAGATTTGGCCTCATTGAATTCCCATGCAGCAGAAGCTTCTGTAATCCTGAAGCAGGCAGCAGTGGTGGCAGCAGTAGGTAGTACATTGAAAAAGTGCCGGCGGGCATTTGTGCAACACATCCCGTGGGAAGGGAAATTGTACTCGGCGTACAAGGCAAACATTTCCCTAAATGTGCCCACGCTCCTCATATATGCGCTCAGGGCTTTTATTCGTGTGGCGAATATCGATATTAATGTCGTCGTTAGCGGTCGCTCGCTCGCGGTTCACTTTGTTATTGTAATGCCGCGATGTTTGCACAGAGCGCACGAGAGGCTTCACCTACGATAAGAGATAGATACGTGTGGTTCCTTCTCTCTGTTGATACTTTTTATTGATATCATATTATTTTTCTATATATAAAAATATAAACTAACATTGAATTGTCGTTCACATTCTTCGGTTCATTTCTTCGATTTTGACCATTGTCTGTTTCAAATTGGAATTTGGGTCAGCTAACAGTGACGATGGCTTGTCAAATTCTAAAACTCCACGACCATCCATAACGAGAACGCGATTACACGATAAAACTGTCCTCAATCTGCGAGTAATAAGCAAAGCTGTTACATCGGGGAATTCCTTTTCAATTACTTGATGTACTAATCCAGTTAATGATTCAGGCGCTTCGCATTCTTCTAATACTAGTATCTGTAACATTTTTTAAACATTTATTTAGACCGATAACAAAATGTTGTAACATTTGTTCGTCTTACTTTATTTTGACTAAGAAAAGCTCTCGCAAGGTACAGCAGTTGCTTTTCAATTACGTTAAAAGTTTTTCCATCGATTGTGTAATGGAGCTGCGACGCGCAAGCTGCTATTCTATCTTTCATATGTACTTTTTCTAACGAATTCCATAATTCGGCATCTGTATGTTGTTTTTTTGGATCCAAGAAAAACCTATAGTCAATATAAAATGTACTTTTGAATGTGCTGATTTACAGTTATATTTTGTCCAATTGTTACCTAATTGTGCCGTAGAATATTGGATCTTGAGGAACAATAGACAATCGGCTTCTCAATAATTTGATACTTATTTTTGATAAATCTACCTTGTCAATGGTTATTGATCCGCTGTTCAACTCATAAAGTCTGTATAAAGCTAAAATTAAAGCGTTCTCGTCAGAACCGGATAAATTCAATACACCTGAAAATAAGTTAAAGATGTGAGATCATTTGTTCTCAATTAAACAGATTCTGGTATTCATTTACCTATTTTTTCACCATCGCCAACGGAAAATGAAACACAATCTAAAACATCTTCTTCATCGTTATTATTGTATTTTAATACTGCTTTATCAAATTCTATCGTACCCGTCGTTGGCCACTCGAGTTCGGGTAGTACAGTAACAATCTTATCGTTAACTTCGTCAATAAGTATCTAAAACGTTTTTTTTATCGACATCATAAAATATTCAATTCCAAAATTGAACTGGCTTTAATTGCGTAATGACACAAGTACTCGATCACATAATATTTCTTACTATTCAAATTGTATGAGATAAGAAAGATTCTTACCTCGGTATTGCTACAGATATTTTGCACGCTGTGAAGACTTGATTCGATTTTCAAAAAGTATCGCATTCCTATTCGCATGACGTTCGGTATTGTCAGAATATAAATGAATGTTAAACCAGACATTGTTGGTGATATTTCTTTTTCTAAAATAATAATCACAGTGGATGCAACGAGTATAAAAATTGTCGACATTAACTGCAGTCTCACTAATAACCATCTTTCGGATACACCTTTGATGAAGCAACATGCAGTATTTATATCAACTATATTTTGATACCTAGGAGGATTATATTGTGTAAAGTTGATTGTTTCATCATACAAAAATGATTTCAATTATTGAATAGATGAATTACTTGCTCAGTAAGTCAGTTTCTTTCTTGAAAGTACGGATAGTACTCAATCCCTGCATAGTGTTTTCGAGAAACATATTTGTTTTCATTTTCATTTGGTATTCCAAATGTTTGAAATTTTTGCGTCCGATTCTTAAAAATAATAAAGTTAACAAAATATGAGAATATTGTATTCACAAACTCATTCTCATCTGAAGTAGTAGAATGTTTGCATACTAACATGTACATTTTTCCCGTAATATAGAATATTGGACTAGTAAATACAACATAATTGCTGAACCATGGAATCGTACTAATTAGTACAAAAAATGTCGTGATGCCTAATGCCATGTATCTCAAAGTTCTATCTAATTTTAATGGTAGTTGAAGACTGACTGAAGAAACATTTAATTAATATTATATAATAGGATTAGGTTAAACGATTTAAGATCACTTACTATTATACAGGTCATATGAAAATAATTTTTTCATTCTTTTCGATGAAAAATCAAAAATTCTCATCGGGGAGTATACTAATTTATTTATTAATTCGGTATGTACATTACGACCAATCTTAACTGCCGCATATTGTACAGCAAGACTTTGCACTATGCAACCAATAATAATGAGAATAGAACAAAATCCAAACAAATTATGGTAGTACGCAAGAAGATAATATTTGTCGGTGAGCAATAGAACGCTATTCTAGAAAAAATAACCAATCTGATCTTGAAGAAAGTTTGGTTTCTTCGTAACGATATATCTAATTTACTCACCTTACATATCAATTGTATCCACGCTGCAAGACGCCATAAACTAAAAACTTGCATACCTGAGTATATCAAGTATGACATTATTACCGAAAATAGTAAGAAGTAGCTGCCAAGAAATTTGATATATACTAGATAAATCTTTGGTGGTATTCCTTGAGGTTCTGAATTGTCATCATCTTCCTCGTCTTCTTCAATTGATTTATTCGTTGGAAAATCTATATTTAAAACAGATTGTCTACGTTCGGGAGAATAATTTTCCTCTTCTTCATTCAATATACTGAAACAAGAACATCTCTTGTAATCACAAAGTTTTTTCAATGGTGAATTGAAACGATACTAACTCGTCAACATAACCATCTTCTGCATCATCGGTGGCAGCAGCTTTCACCATAGAGGCATACTCTCTCCCCAACCTCATCAAATCTTTATGTCTTCCATGTTCCGCTATTTTGCCGTCACGTATAATGTACATGTAATCGCATCTATCCAAATACTGCAATAAGAAACTGTCTACACACGTGCCACGTTGCATCTCTTTATCGACACAGAACATGACGAACAATCAAGATTGTAAACATAAAAATGTACCTCGAGTTCTTGCGTCACCAGCAAAATGGTTTTTTCAGCCAGTGCTCGAATGATAAGATCCTCGAATATTTCACTGCTGATTTTATCTTCCATCGAACTCAGTGGATCGTCCAAGAAGTATATATCCCTAATGAAAATGTTGAAGTATAGAATATCTCTGCGTTTATAAATGATCACTCTTACAAACCTGTCAGCATAGAAAGCTCTAGCCAAGGCAATTCTCTGCCTGAAGCTCTCTGTAACGTCAACGCCATCGTCACCGACTTCTGTCTCGTCACCATCAGTTAGAGTCCTTATGTCTTGTCTCAATTGACAAACTACTTGTGCCTCGTAATATCTCTTCGCATCATAAACTTCTTCAAATAGAATGTTCTCTTTGATTGTGGCATTGGCAAGCCATGCTTTTTGTCCCACATACGCACAGCTACCTTGCCTCATAAGTTGGCCATTAATCATTTTGATTTGACCTAGTGCCGACAGCAGCAGCGACGATTTACCACTGCTTGGTCTACCGCAGATTCCAATTAGTTGGCCTTTCTTCGCTTTAAATGTTATATTGGTTAATATTTCTATGCGCTTTGGCTCGAATGTCGGCGGATTGAGTTTCAACTTCTCATTCTCAGTGGCGTTGTCTTTATTTATGAATTCATCTCTGAAATAAATAGATTTGAATCCGTTTTTTGCTTGCCCCACACTTATCTCACTAGCTATACTTACTTGGTACGGTTTTTCTCATTTTCGTTAGTTTGTTTTTTACGAATGTCGAAAACAAAAGTTCCATTAACTATAGCTACTGCTTGTGACGGTTCGTAAGGTTTTGTCGGATGACAACTCGTATCTTCCATCAACAAGCCACCCTATCAAAAATTAATAGACAGTTTTAAGCGTTTTTGTTGTATGCGTACTATTTTTTGTAATACCTTGATATTTTTGAAAATTTCTAATGATTCTCTCAGTCGCGATAGGGATGGCTTTATCGATCTAAAAGCTCCATTCATTTGCACCATTATCACCACACAAATAGGAAAAACCTTAAAAATTCGCTAGTTTAAAAAAATTAAGCTTTAGCATTTGATTTATTTCATTTGAGGACGAACATACTATAGAAACTTTCAAGTTATAGCCGACAGTACCATGCAGGAAAAACATCATTATTATAGCAATGACTGGAAGAGCATCCATCGTTGACGAGTTAAGACTTTTGACGTAAGACAGCTTCCAAAGCCATTTGCCTTCCTTATTGCGTATATCTAGGAAAAATCTTTGAATAACATTTTTTTTACTTTTCGCGCGATAAGTCAGAAATTATTGTCTATTCAAACTCACTTGATATACTTTGAATGAAATGCTGTTCCCAGCCATTTATTTTGATTAGTTTTATATTTTCCATTATCTCAACTGTTTTTTGTATTCTTTCTCTTGTGTATTCGTTCGCATTTTCCTCGCAATAGTTTACCAAATATACAAACCAATACTAAAGATAAAAGCATAAAATTTTTTACCAGTTCCACTTGAGAATTTTGAAAATGTTTTACCTGTACAACGTAAAGCACTAGAAATAAAATGAGACCAAGTACGGCTACTGAATTTAACCATAATGAGCTGCAAATCACTACACACAGCGCTACAATCGGACCTACGATTATCGATGCTGCTGAATCAACTGCATGATAAATTTTCTGCCCGTCTTTTGTCAGCATTTCTATAAGCTACACAATCATATTTCAATTTCCAAAACACTCAAAGTAATCCAATTGGAATGCGCATACCTTTCGCGTATTATTCGCATTGACATTATTCAGATGTAGGACTCTTTTGAACAAAAGACTCAGACACACGGACTTGAGTCTTAAGGCAGTTCTCTTATTCATTATATCACCCCAGCTGTAGAGAATCATCTGTAGTAAATCGAAGCCAACAATGTAAACCACCCAGTGCATACCCCAAAAGAAATTATCCTCGACTTTCTCATGGAACTCCAGGAAGTGTCTCAGCATCACCGTCTGACGCATCGTAAATTTGCATTGACATACTTTGAAAAAAAATACTCGACATTGCACTGCATTACCTGCATCGTAAAGTTTATGATCTGCGAACCGACGTTCAATACGCACGAGATAAGAACGCGAAAACACACAAATCTCCATGCGACAAGTGACAACGAGGCTGAGGTTGGACCTCGTAATCGTAACTCGTCATTCCATAAATTTTCAAATCTATAAAAAATAACGATTTTCCAGGTATGTCCCTGACGAGCAGAGCTTACTTACTTATTTTTACACTTACTTTTGTGCATTACAAGAGCAGCTGTCTAACGGCGCAATAGGAGGTAGGTCAGATAAGAAGATCCCTTTTCTGTAAGCTTTCCACAAATATTTCGTCAGCCACGAGGAGAAGACGTAGGAAAAGAAACCCGTACTGTCGATGTTCATTGTCGGTCGATTCGAGTTGGTTCCTATGCACTTTTACACGTACACTCGACTTCTTGGCACATCTCGAAAGACTCGCGTGCGCTTGCTGCGGAATAGTCTCGGACAACTCTCTACCGCCGCTCCGTGTGTTGCAACTTGTGCTACTATAGCGTGCCGCGAGCTTCTCTCTCTCTCTCTCTCTCTCTCTCTCTCTCTCTCTCTCTCTCTCTCTCTTTGATAAGATTATTAATAAGAAGTTTCTACTTGCCTCGAAATACGTTTATTGATAAGGCTTCGTACTTTGCCTTTTTTCTCTCTTTACTTCTTTTCTAGGTATATCTCCGGGCCGTTCGCTACGATAAGATAAGGCTTTTTCCCGAACCATTACTCTACATTTGATGCTTTTCCTTCAAATGAGCGATCGATTATTATTGTATTGGCCTATCGAGCGCGCGCGCATCCTTAACTTTTATTAATGTTCGAAGAGGCTCATTTGCTTGCGTGTTTAAACATACACTCTCTGCTAATTTGAGTCTCTTCTTCGTGAATCATGATAATTTATGACATCTTTGCTCCCAAGTATGTTATTGCACAATTTACATTTTAGCTCTAATTAACGATTCAGACTGTAATGCATTTTTAATTAATCTTTCGTCAGCAGGCATAAACAATTAATGTGTTGATTTGTTTTTTTTTGATAATTTCTTTCTATCGTACTTGGTATTATCTAAAGCTGCCTTGTTTCAATCGAAATATAAATTGCGTATTCGTTTTATGCGACTAAAATTGAAAAATAAAAACAACTCAAGATAGATACTAGTTTCAAGTGTTGTTTAGGGTAAACTACCGATGCGCTCGAGCATGCTTACAAATTAAGACGAAAAATACGAATAATCGAATACATGAAATCTCCTCGTTGCAAATTTTATTGAAAGCATGCGAGTACGGGGGAGAAAACTGAACGCACACAGTGCTGAGGGGGAGGCTCATAAAAGTTGAAATAGCAGCAAATTGAGCCTTTCGCAAATGTACGTCGTCGGAAGAGGCTGAAGCATTTGCGCGCGCCGAAATAATGAAGCCGCACTTCAGCGCAGTGGGTCCTCGGGACAGCGTGAATATTTCATTCAACCGCAGCGATCGGGCCGAAACCACGATAAAAGCGGGCGAGCGAGAGAGCTTGCTGCCACTGCAATCGTTGCGATGAGCGAAAAAAAGAACCGTTCACAGTTGAGGTTTTTTGTGCTCGCTAAACGAACAGCGAGAAGTCAATCGATCGCCGTGTAATTCGCGTGGAGCCTCGCCGGTCAAAAATTGTTTCGCAATTTTCTTTTTCAATTTCTCCCGAGACTCGAGTAATCTCTTTCTCTTTTAAAATTTATTCAATGAATAATTAATGGACAAAAAGCTTGAGGCCCTTAGAGCTATTCAATATTTTGCCGTCAAAAGAAAAACTCGCGAATAAATTCCGTTAAAACGCCGGGAAAGCGAGAGTCTGGTGAAAGCGTCGGCGTCTCTCGTACTTATTTAAAGAGGCAAGCTCGCGCGGCGCACGCTTCATTAAAATTTCAAAAGAACGTCCGCGAGTTATTGGCCCAGGAGCAGAAAAAAGAAAAAGCTAGCTAGAAACAAAAGAGATGAAGGTTTTGCTGCCGCTGTGCTTGTTCTTATGTATATATATCTCTTTTGAAAAGGGTCGCGCTCGTCATGAATCTTACTTGTGTCCTTTTCCGGAATTTTGCACTCGCAAATCACGCGGGTGTCCAATAACCAAGATAGATGTGCACTTGGCGAAGAGACGCGACTTTCAATTTTGGGAGGCCTATGTGTATAAGGCCAAAGTCGTTGCTGCGCAAGTTTGCGGTGAGATAACGGGCCAAGATTAGTTGGTGAATAGGATAACTAATAGTCTGGATACGTGGTTATTAATATGATTCTTGCTGGAACATACATTTTTTATTTTTACCCAACGTAATCCTCGACATTATTAATTGCATTTTGTAGAATGAAAAACTTTCAATAGTACAACATTGCAAAATCAAATTTTAACGAATAGTCTGAAACGTTCTCAGCGAAAATTTTCATGGCAGCTATCAGCTTATCTGAGCACCCACCTAGCGATAACATTACTCATCATTTATTTGATTCGATTCGTATCTACTCAATATCGACATGCGCCTAAAGAAATTTGAATTTGAACTTGAAATTACTTTGCGCATTCCTCTCACTGGTCGCGGACAATAGTTGTCACCGTAATTTTTATCGCAGCTGTACTAAATCCTACACTCACGTAGCTCCTCCCAAGCAGGAAGTTAGTGTAGGGCGCAGACAAAAGCCAATGCCCGAAAGCGACAGCCATCCATCTTATAAACCCACGGAGCCGAATCGCTGAAACAAATCCAGCGGCTGAAATACACGCTTCGTCACTGCTGGGCCACGCCGAGGGAACAAATCGCGAATGGAAATCGAAGCCAAAGCACAGTCAATTCACTTATTGGGCTTGGCTTTCGCAAGAGAAAGAAGGAGAAAAAAGCGTTGGAGCAAGGCTGCAAGTGACGATAAAGAGTAATGAGAGAGAGAGAGAGAGAGAGAGAGAGAGAGTGGGTCCCCTCAGAGATGCAGAATAGGCAGGCGGAGGGAGTAGAGCGACGAAAAAAAGTCTTTTGAGAGAGAAAGGGAGAACGTGTCACCTCGAGGGCTTGACCGACGACAACGACGACTACTACTACTACTACTACCACTACTACTACGACTATTACTATTACTACTACTACGCTCAAAGGAATCGTCTCTTTGGGGCGTGCAAATTTCCTTTTCTGAAAATTAAAAATGTCAAGCCACGTCGCCTCACTTTTCTTTTCACGTGCTCGTACACGGGCACACGTGCGCGCGCGCACATACACACACACACCTGTGGTTTTCTTTAATCGACGAATCTCCTTTTTTTTTTAATTTTTAACCAATGAAAGGAAAAATTAGCTCTACGAAGACTTTTAGCGAGAAATTTTCCAAACGGAGCTCTTTCCCCATTAAAAGCATCGTCTAGCTGAAGGGATAATTGCCAAGCCCTTCTCTTATTTAATCAATTCCCCTTTTCGTGCTCGTAAAATACACAAGAAACGCGAAGCCAATGGGTATTAATAATTCACTTCCCTCTTTCGCACAGCGAGGTTTGCGAAAAAAGTGCGGGAGAGAGCGAGTGAGGAAGAGCAAAACGAAAAGATAACCCCGAAGGGTTGCGAGTGCGTTCACTCCAAGTCATTGATAATTTCTATCTGGAGTTGCTCGTTAATGTAAACGGCAGAGAGAGAGAGAGAGAGAGAGAGAGAGAGAGAGAGAGTGAGAGCCGCCGTCCGAGTTTGCATGTATTATGAGATATTTTGCCTGGATGGGTTTAGGAATGATATTTTGAACTGAATTTTGCTATGTCGATTGATTAACTTTCATGATGAATTTTGCATACGATACATTCTAATAATATCGGTACTTCCCACTAACATTCGTCCTGCAGATCGATCATTCCGTTGCTACGATTGTTCGGGCATTGAAAATGCTTGACGTTTGCCTAGCGGCAGCGACGGCGATACATTTGTTAGACTGGAAATATTTGCGGCGCGCGGAGAGAAAAAAGGAGTAAAAAGTAAAGCAGCAATGTCAAATAAGCAGGAGAAAGCGGCGGACGAGCAAACAAAATAAAATGTAAGAGAGTAGCATTTTAATAAAACCATAGAGCGGCTCTCTGCCTCGACTTGCTTTTCAGGCTTTCTCTCTCTTCTCTTATCAAGCGACGCGCGCGTGACATTCAAACAGAGAGGAGCGTACAGACGGCACAGTAGCGGCCGAAAAATTTTTCGAGATGGAGAAAAAGAGATGCGGACTTTTTCAAGAGCCGGCGCTGCTGCTCGCCGTGCACACAGAGTAGCAACTTTTCCTTTTTCCCCTTTCGAGAGAGCGACTCGTTTCCTCTCATTCTGGATACGCGCGAGCGGAGACGCAGCGGCAGCGGACTCGGTTGCTTGGTTAATTAATATTAACACTATATACTCTGCGCGAGCAATTTGCCAGTTGTAAGAGGGGAGGAGGGCTCTAATGAATTTAACGTCTCTGCGCGACTAGCGCTAGTGGCGGTAGTAGCAGACCCAGTTACAACGCGGAGCCGACTCTCGCAGGCTTTCCAAATCGATAATCCTCGTTAAATATTTCAAGGTGCCAAGGAGTTCGGGACAACGGATTTACATTTGCTCTCACTCTCCGCGCGCTACTCGGCTTCCTCGGCGCTCTTTCCAGCTCTTGACGAGGACGTTAATGTTTCACTTCGCGGTCGCTGCCGTCCGATCGAGTCCATTGAACGCTTCTTACGACAACTTATTACAAGGACTGTTTGAGAAAATCGCGGCGTCGCGGCAGGTTGTAATCGCGTAGATGGCGCCGCGTCGAGCGTTTTGATTGGCCGTGTCGCACGCGAGGACTCCAGACGTGTCAATCGAACGATTGATTGCCGAGGCTAGGCTGATGCTTATCTGCTACCCTCTCCGCGTGATTAATGAGGCTCGTACGATTTTTACGAGCGCGCTTGCAAACGCTAATTATCCGGAATACTCGCTTGTTGTTTCAACGAAAAAAGGACAATGACGATCTATTTACAGGGCTAATTAACTGCTGGCGTGAAAATGGTCTCTCTCTCTCTCTCTCTCTCGGAGCTAAGAGCTGCTTTACACAAGTTGCTTTGTTTTGCATATTCATGGATCTGCCGGCGATGGTTTCTTTTCGCTCGCACGAAGACCAGACAATTCTTTCTTGGCGGGGGAATCTCCGGCGAAATCGCGCGCATAAAAGCCCAACTATAAATTTATAGGGAAACATCTTTCTCGCGAGCGTCGGCGTAATTTTGGCCCTAAAAGAGAGAATTTCTCCGACTGTAAAGTCGAGGCGCTTGATACGTGCGCGCGCGATCTCACCCCTTTTTCTCTCTTTGCAGCGAAGAAGAGAAAAGAATTAAGCCCTCGGACGCTTGAAACATGGGGGCCGTGCGGGAAACACGCACGGGATCGCGCTTTCTTTTTGCCCTCCTCTCCCGCTTTCATTATTTTCCCTTCTCGGCGCACTGGCCTCGTGTTTCTTTCCCTCTTTTATCATTC